TTTTTTTTTTGAGACGGAGTTTCACTCATGTTACCCAGGCTAGAGTGCAATGGCGCGATCTTGGCTCACCGCAACCTCCGCCTCCTGGGTTCAGGCAATTCTCCTGCCTCAGCCTCCTGAGTAGCTGGGATTACAGGCACGCGCCACCATGCCCAGCTAATTTTTTGTAGTTTTAGTAGAGACGGGGTTTCACCATGTTGACCAGGATGGTCTCGAACTCTTGACCTCGTGATCCACCCACCTCGGCCTCCCAAAGTGCTGGGATTACAGGCTTGAGCCACCGCGCCCGGCAAGAACACCTTTAATGGAGGTAAGTAGGACCGAGTTTTGCTTTAATATTTTAACATTTTACTCTAGAAATTGTAAGCATATACTAAAGTAGACAGAACACTGTCTACAGCCCCTATGCAGCCCATCACCCAGCCTCAACATAGAGCAATTCATGGACAATTTTGTTTCTTCTTCTGCACCCCCGCACCCCCTCCCTGTGAGACAGAGTCTTGCTCTGTCACCCCGGCAGGTACAATGGTTCCATCTCAGCTCACTGCAACCTCCGCCTCTTGGGTTCAAGTGATTCTCCTACCTCAGCCTCCCGAGTAGCTGGGATTATAGGCATGTACCACCACGCCTGGCTAATTTTTTTTTGTATTTTAAGTAGAGACTGGTTTCACCATGTTGGCCAGGCTGGTCTTAAACTCCTGACCTCGTGATCTGCCCGCCTTGGCCTCCCAAAGTGCTGGGATTACAGGCGTGAGCCATGAGCCTGGCCTTTATTTTTTCTGTATCCTGTCTTTCCCCGTATTATTTTGAAGCAAATCACAGACATTATATTATTTCAGCCATCAACGTTTCATATGCATCCAAAAAAGGTAAGAACTTTTAAAAACAGCTTTAAAAATTTTTAAATACAAAAAAACCCAAAAATTAAAAAAAAGGAGCCACCATGGCTTAGACCAGTTGTCCTGGCGCTTGAGGAGGCGAGGCCACGCGTTCGAGGCCAGCCTGGGCAACATAAGAACCTCTCATTCATTTAAAAAAAAAAGCAAAAAAACCTTTTACATACATTTATTACATACAAAAATTAAGTTTTTAACTGGATACCTAGCGCCCAGAGCTGAGTTCCAAGGCACAGAAACAGAGCTCCTTGGAGAAATGGCTGATTCCGTGACTAGGGCACGAAAATATACAAGAGGAGCTTGGAGTGTCTTACAGTTCCAGAAAGCATGGAAGTGCTTAAAACAAAACAAAACAAAAGCCAAAACAAAACTCCCACATTGATGGGGGTATGTCAAAGGAACACAGGAGCCAACTGAAATAGCTCCCAATGGCCGAAACTAGAACAATTTGAGTGAAAAAATAAATATACTACTATTGGATTATTACCCAAAGTATAAAATAAATATCCCTGAGTCCATGCTGATATAAATAATCGAATAAATAAATAAATGGAGGAGAAGAGAGAAATCTCCCATGTGGAAGAAATCCAAATAATTTATGTAGATACTTTGTCTTCAAGGAGGAGGAGCATAACTCCCCACTGCTTCAGTGCGGGCGCACATAGTGACTTCCTTCCAAAGAGTACAGTATGAGGGGTGGAGAGGAACCCTAACTTTGCAATGAAGAAATCTGATAAGTTACTTATTGAAGCACTGCCCCAGCCAGGTAATCAAGGACAACCTCACAGTCACAAAACATGCTATATACAATGTTATATAAATGACACCGCAACCTCCACCTCCCGGGTTCAAGCGATTCTCCTGCTTCAACCTCCCATGTAGCTGGAGGTACAGACGTGTGCCACCATGCCCGGCTAATTTTTTGTGAAGATTAAATGAAATACTGCAGCTCAAAGTACTTGTGATTGTGTCTTTCCTCTCTCTCTTTGGGGCAGAAGAAAAAGGTAGACTATTGCTGATATAACAAAAATATTTATTTTGAAGAAAGGTGGGGTAAGGTGTCGTCACGTGCACCCAGGGGTCGGGAGGCCTCCTTAGCAGAGGCTGCACGTCGCCCTTTGAGAGGTGAGCTCTTGGAGGGGGTTTTGATAATAATCAGAGGCCAAATGTCATTGGGGCCAGCTGATGCTGGGCCTGGAAGGTGCTGGATCCTTTAGGGGAGGCCTGGGGCCTGGCCTTCGGAGGAAGCCTTGCCTCTACCTTGGGGATCTTCACATGGGAGGCTGACTGAGACTTCCTCTGATGCTGGTCCCCCAAAGTGGTAGGCTTTTCTTTGGATGACAAGGAGGGCAAGGCTTGAGGGAGGAATGGGAGGCTGGGGTGGGCGGGAGGTGGAGCATCACCTTTGTTCTCAGGCTGTACTCACAGAGGCAGGGCTCCGAGATGGGGGGCAGGGAGAAATATTCTTCCCACCATGGGGCCTGCTCCCCGGAAAACTTGGGCCAGGCCACCAGACCCCACGCCAACTCCTGCCTGGGCACTTGGAGGAGTGTCTTGCTCCTGAACAACGATGAAGTGACATTTGGATCAGAGTGGAGAGGGAGAGAGAAGAGGCCGAGACAGAAGGATAGAGAGAGAGAAAGAGAGAGAGAGAGAGGCAGCGAGGAGACAGGGACATCAGGGTGGGGATTGGAGATGGAGAGACAGCAAAGGAGGCAGAAGGCAAGGAACATGTGCTGCTACACACACCCTGCTTCCTCCTCCTCTTTGCCACAAATGTCCTCTACTGATGGGGTCTCACACGCAGGTTTGGCTGTTCACCCAGCATTCCTCTTAAAGAAAAAACTTGGAGAGAAGAGAGGGACCCTCGGACCAGGAAGGGGAACCAGGATTGAGAGCAGCTCCTGGCTTTGGGGGAGATACCAGAAGCTCACCATCTCCTCCCACCTCTCCCAGCTAGTCCTCTTGTCCCAGGCTCCTGTTTTAGGCCTGCATATTCCAGGCTGCTTGAGTGCTGTTCCCACCATCCAGAATACTTTGCCAAACCCCTCTCTGCCTGATAAAAATTCTGCCAGTTATGCAAAGCCTGCTCAAAGCCTGAACCGTTCTTCACCTTGAAGCATTCCTTGTTTAGGTCCCCTTAGCCCCTTGCTCCTCTCTGATGGTTGTGACCACATATTTGTACCTGGCATGGAAAGTACAGTGATTGAAATCCTTAATGTACCACAGTGGGTTTTGTACTGTATGTCTTTCTCTCTAACTGGTATTTCCTTACAGATTGGGACTTGCGGTCATCTCTGACTGCACCCGTCCTGGAGAAGGATCTCCAAATGCACTTGCCAAATGGACAGAAGGTCATGGGATCCACCCCATTCCATCCTCCCCTGTCTGGGGTGACAGCAGGGGAGAGAGGGCTGTGAGGGAAGAGGTGTCTGTCTAGGTCTTTCAAGGTCCAAAAGAATATGAGCTCAAAGGTGCTGGCCACACCTCCCAATCCCACTGTGACATCATACATGTGGGTCACACACCCGAGGGAGCCATTGTGGCTTCACCCTGGGTGAACTCTCTGGAAGTTTGCTGCACCCAGCTCTCCCCTAGATCCTCTGTGCCACAGATGGTCTCACGGACAGAGCCCTTACCTCATATGGGGAGCTCTTTCCTTCCCTGAGGGATGAGGCAGTTGCCCACTTTAAAATCCTCATGTTGAGCTCTGGAAAGGAGGTGTTGGGACCTGGAGTTAGTCAGGGAATGGGCAGGAAGGGGCATCTGGCATACATCCTGGGGCCCCAAAACCCATGTCCAGGCCCTGGCAGTGACTCTTTCTGTGCAGGGCTTTAAGTGGGGGGGGGGTCTCACCTGAGCAGGACACACTCAGGGCCCCACTTGAGCAGTAAGCAGTAAGGAAGGCTGAAGACAGGAAATCCAGATGGCCCTAAAGGAGAGGGTTGCTTGCTTTGGGACTCTGGGTACTGGCTTTCTCTTACAATTCACACTAGAGTCTCTGACAACAGGTCCCTTCAGAATTCACCAGACACTGCCATTTTCTCTTTCTCTGTAAGTAGCCCCTTCCTCCCACTCCCCATTCCCATGGTGTATTTCTTCTTTTTCTTTTTTTTTTTTTTTAAAGATGGGGTTTCACCATATTGGTCAGGCTGGTCTTGAACTCCTGACCTCAGGTGATCCGCCCACCTCAGCCTCCCAAAGTGCTGGGATTACAGGCGTGAGCCACCTCGCCCAGCGCCATGGTGTATTTCTTGCCTTCCCAGGAAGCTGTCCTCCTGCTGGGCCCAGTTGAGAGTCCTTTCTCCTTCTCCCTTGAGAAGAGGTGCCTTCAACTAGCTACCTTGAAGGCATTTCTATTTAGAGATTGACAAGAAACTTACACAATAACTGAATTCAATTTGATTACAACGAGGCACTGTATTTATACGGTGGTGTAGCTGGAATCCTGGAGTCCTAGGATTGAAATGGGTTTCTGAGCAAGAGGCTACAGGAATCTGGTTGGCAGTACCATCGGCAGGGAGTCTCCAGGCTGTGCTGAGACACTGGCAGTAACGGGAATCTCAGTGCCCCACAAGGCCACCCACTTGGCTGTGAAAGAATCCCAGACCCCTAGAAATGCCTTCCTTCAATTAAACCACAACCTGGACTCCCGTTTTTGGCGTGTGTGTGTCTTTGGATGGGCACGGAGGAGGTACCACTAAGCACGCAACCACGTTGAGAAAAAAGCTGTTTTTGTTATTGCTGCTGCTGCTTTCGGTGGAGGTACAACGTGATAGGCTTATCTAGGAAGGATGCCTCAGCCTGGGTGGGGGAGGGGGCTGGAGAGCCTGTGGTTTGAAGAAGGAGAGGGGAGAGGGAAGATTGAGTATAGGAAGAAGGAGGAACAAGGGCAAGAGTGGCCTGCGCAGACGACTGCAGGGGGATGTGGAGGGAGGCAGGAGGAGGCTTGGCTGGTAGGAAAACCTGGGTTTGTTGAGGGACAGAAGGAAACCTAGTGGTCTTTCATTCATAGGCGTTCCCAGAGAAATCCTTACTGGCAATCTTGGGCAAGGAACGAATCGCCTGGCGTCTCAGTATCATCAGTTTGGAAAGTGGGTATAATATTTATGCCCAGCTTCCTAGGCTTGTGGGAGTTAAATGACACAAATTTAGTACGTTGTAGTGTTTGGTACATACTGTGTGCTCAATACAATACAGAAATAATATGTTATTTATAGTACAATATTATATTACAAATAGCATATTATTATTTACTTTTTTGGGAGCCCCAGTTTTCCCTTCAGCTTCAGAGTCTGGGCTCCAGTTCTGCCTCTAAAAAATCTGTGCCTCCCACGTGTGTGGTTTCTCTTCTCAGTGGCTCCCTGCCGCAGACAGCAGCCATCGCTGGGTGGAGCAGGGCAGAGGCTCCCCTGTCCATTACTCAGGGTTTCCAAAGCCCTGGCAGGGACTCCCTCCTCGGCTTCAGGGACCGGAAGTGGGTATGTTTGGAGGGGGAGGGAGTCTTCCCCCAGCGAAGACTTATTATGTCCATAGCCTCCCAGAGCCCAGAGCTGGGACTTTCTGCCGCCCGAGCTGCACTGGGACCTGCTCCAGCATCCTTCTCTTCCAAGCCCTACACCAGTGCTGATGGCTGCACAGTCGGGCAATGTAGCCTGGGCTTCAGCACAAAGTTGCTGTGTGACCTTCGGCAAGTCTCTTCCCCTCTCTGGGCCTCAGTTTGCTCCTGGGATAAAAGAGACGATAAGAATTATATTTCCATGATTTAATGGGGGTAAGATAATCAGATGCGGAAAGAGGAGAAAATTAAGGAAAGGAAAGATTTTACCAGTAGAGTACAGGCACTGATCTGCAAGGGAAAGCGTTTGGGGGAATTATCTGAATAACACTCCCCTATCAGCCGGGTGATCACAGGAGCAGAGACCCGGTTTGAGCAACTCGCAGAGTCTGAGAACACATCCGTCCCTCTGCTTTTCTCTTCTGGTTTTAGCCCGGCCCCTTCCAGGGGCTTTAACCCTGTTTACAGAAATGGGAATTTGCATGATGAAAATAACCCCAGCCGGACTGCGATTTTACTGCGCTTGGCACGGGGCTCGGAAAAAGCGGCTGCATAGCCAATTACTGGAATTTTTAAACACAAATAATATTTTATGGGATCAGTGGGCTGGCGCTGGGCCGCAGCACCCGGCGCGGCTCCTCCGCCCACAAACAAGCTCCGATTGTGCAGCGGGTGAGCGCGCCAGCCCTGCGGTGGGGGTGAGGGGTAGAGGGGGTGGTAGTGCAGCGGGCGGGGGTCCCGGCGCGGGCAGGTGCAGCGCAGAGCTAGGCCTCTCGGGCGCCGGGACCGGCAGGGAGCGTCTGCGAAGCCCCGGCCCTGGGTGGGGTGTGCTGGGCGCCCTGGCTCACCTGCAGGGCCAGCCTGGAAGCGTTTAGTGCGCGAGGGCACGCCCAGCGCTAGCTTCCTCGCCTGGCTGCCGCCCGCTAGGCCTGGCCCGCGCCCCGCGCCCTTGGCATGGTCGTGGCCGCCGCGCCGCCTCCGGAAGGCCGGCTTCCCGGAACGGCCCGAGGGCGACGGGGAGTCCGCGCCGAGGCCAGGAGCCACCCCTCGCCTTCCCTCTCCCGCCCGAGCCGCGCCGGCGCACAGGAGGCCGACCAGGGAGCCCTAAGGGGCCAGTGCAGGTCGAGGGGCACCACCGCGGGAGCGGGACAGTGCTATCCCAGGTGGTGCCCCTCGACAGATCTCTGCTAAGAAGCCCCATTCCCGTTAGCTCCGAGACCGCCAGGCCTAGCCCGGGGCCCCGGAGGCTGGCAGTCCGCAGCCCCGGTCTCTCCTGGCGCGCACAGGGTTAAGCGGGAGCAGGTGTGTAGCCAGATGCCGCTGACCAGCCCCCTCCCCTGCAGCCTCCTCCTCCGCCCACCCGCTCAGAACCAAACAGTCCCGAATAAAAGTGCTATTGTTGCCGGGCCTTTCCCCACCCCCGTCGCAGCCCCGCCACCTGGAGCGGAGCCCGGTCCCCACTTCACCTGCCCCGGGCAGGCCGGGGGGAGGGGCAAAGGGGAAGTGGGGTCTCCCAGCAGGGACTTCCGCTCCCCTACCCCCAGCTTCCTCTCTCCCAGTGCCCCCGGCACCGACCCCTAGGCCTGGGATGGGCGCCTCTGCTTTGCTCTGAGGGGCTTCTTTCTAGCTAGACAGACAGGTTCTGGCCTCACCCCCACCCCTCCCTTTAGCCCTCATTCTCACGAAGCTGCAGCGGGGCTTTACAAAGCTGGGAGAACACGGAGGTCTTGGGCAGTGCGCCCAGGACAGTGCCAGGCTCACTGGGGCTCGGCAACTGGCAGGTGGAATTTTTTTTTTTTTTTAATTTTTTATTTGTCCAGCAACAAGCCAAGAAAGGTAGGGCAAGAGCGATGTCCTTTACAGACGAGGAAACTGAGGCACGGAGAGGCAGAGTCTAGCCCAATCACAAGGCTGGTAAATGTTGTGGATTCGGACAGAACTCAGATCCTTCGACTCCCCCCAGCCCTGGCCCTCGGCACTGCAGGGTCTCCGGTGTGGATAAGAATGGAGGAGAGACCTCAGAGACTGGGAGTCTAGCACCGTCCTGGACTCGCCATGGGACCTTGGGCGAGTTACCCCTCGGTTTCCCCGTTCTTAAATCGAGATGGGTAGACTATCGTGATTCCTCAATTCTCACGCTGACACTTGGAATCCAAGGGGCTGCTGGCCCCGAGAGGTCTGGGAGCCCTGGTTGGGACTCCCTGCGTGAGCTTGGCCTGCCAATGGAAAGGAAAATGTTTCCCCCTTCGCTCCCCTTTTCCACCAGCTTTCTCTCCCCTGCCTCCATCCCTTCCCTGTAGGCCCCCAGGAGGCTGAACTGCGAGGTTAAATAAATATCTGACGGTGGCTCAAGGAAACAGTCAAGACGGTTGCCGGGAGAAGAAACCCAGACCTCGGTGGAGATCCGCTCCTAAGCCCAGCAGCCCCCACTCCGCCTCAGTTGCAAGCTGAGCCCTTGGCCCCTTCGGGCCTCACCCAACTTCCCCAAGATAGCCAGACCCCTTCAGCGCGGCCCCTCTCCTCCGACCTTCCCCAGCTAAGGCGCCAGTAGAGCTGGGGCTAAAGGAGTGCGCTCAGGGTTACCGTATTTCCTCTTTGCGCTTTAGGTTTTGAGCGCAGGTATTTAAATTTTCCAGCCCAAGGGAGAGTACTCTCCGTACTGTGAAAATAGCTCTACTGGGAGTCGAGAGATTTGAGATCTTGGTTTTGTTCTCTTCACTCTACTATTAATCTCTCTCCTGACCTGCAGACCCACAAATCCAGTTTCCTACTTCACCTGGACATCTAGCAGACGTCTCAAACTTGCTCTACTTTGAAATTCTGATCTCCACCCCGACCCCATCTGTCAGTCTTCTCCGTCTCAGAAAAGGGCAACTTCATCTTCCCAACTGCTGGGGAAGACAATCTTGTAGTTATTCTCAACTCCTCTCTTTTTCTGTCATCATTCATCTAAATGCCTTAGCAAATCTTGTTTATTTTGTCTTCAAAATATGTCCAGAATTTGCTACTCTTCACCACCTCCTCACTGAACTCACTGCTCCAAGCCACTGTCGTCTCCTGCTAGAGTACTGCAACACCTCCTAGCTCGTCTCTGCCTCCCTTCTCTCTCTTAGTCTGTTCTCAACAGAGTAGCCTGGCTTATCCCTTTAAAACTAAAGTCAGATCACATCCCTCTTCTGCTCAAAACCTCCAATAGCGGAATATCTCACTCAGAGAATAGGTGATCTGATCAGCTCTCTGCCCTTTCTTGTCATCCCCCTCCTCCTCCTCCTCACTCTGTTCCAGCCACACCTGCCTCCTAGACCCCCATGCAGGACAGCACGCTCCTGCTTCAGGACCTTTGCCCTTGCTATTCCCTCCAGGTTCCTGCAATGTTCTCCTCTCTGCTGAGGCTTTCTCTGATCAGTGTCCCACCCCAACACACACACCAGGCTCTTCATCTCCCTTGCCCTGCTCTGCTTTTCTCAGTTACGCTTGTCATCATCTCACCTGCTGAATATTTCCCTGCTGATCTGTCTATCTCCTTCTCCTAGATTGGAGGTGCTATGAAGGCAGTGGCTTAAAAAAAAGTCTCAGCCTTTAGAACAGGGCTTCCCACAAATAGGCTCTCAGTAAGTATTTGTTGTAGGAATGAGCTAGTCACTTTCCCTTCCTGAGCCTTACTTTCCTCACCTGTACAAGTGAGTTGGACCCAATGAAAGTCCCCCTCAGCTTTGAGTCTCGTGGTAAGAGATGAACACTGAGGTGAGAGGGAGAGTTAGTCAATGGAGCTAAGGTGTCAGTTAGCTCTGTGTTGGAGTGGACCAACGCAAGGCAAAGAAGGCTTACTCCAGGGAGGCCCAGAGGGCCTACATATTAATTCATCCATTCATTCATTCATTCATTCATTCATTCAAAAAGTGTTCCTCAAGATCCCAGCTGTGTGCAGCCTGGGCACATCTGTGGGGAAAGCGGGGACAGGCAGAATAAGACCTGGGCCGTCAACAGCTCTGTCCCATGTTGGCTGTGTGACCCTAGGTGAGCCTGGGATCTCTCAGAGACTCGGTTCTCCCGCCTGTAAAAGTGATAGATAATTTCACCTGCCTTACAGAACTCATGAATTAGACCAAGTGTCAAATGAGACAATCCCACCATACACCCTTAAAGTGTATGACTGAGAAACAAGAATGAACACACACATCAAGGTGACAGATCTTTGAGAGCTTAGAGTATGGTCTTTGTAGCTCAGAGCCCTCTCCTTCCTATTTTCGTCCGGGTCTTGGTGGTGTCCCTCGGGACTGGCTGAATGCCTCAGCCTTACACTTGAGTTGGGTTCCTTCCTGACCCCAGGCATCCAAATGAAGGCTCCCCCTCGTGGCATTTCCTGTAATAACAGGTCTCAGCACCTACTGAACATGGTCAGCCAGTGGCACAGAAAGGGAGCAGGAAGAGGCCAGAGGAGGGAGAGTCTGAAGACTTAGGAAAGGGGCGGGGCAAACCTGCAAAGGAATGCTAGACTGGGAGGGACCTGGAACTGCCTTCTCACACCCCATTTTACAGTTGAGAAGCTGAGGTTCAGGGAAAGAGAGGTTAGAGGCAGGACTGTAACTCAGGAATCTACACACTCCTATGCTGGTTTCTTCACACCAAGTACCATAGGCATTTATACAAGTCAATGAGCAAACGGTATAGATAACAAATTCCCTCTACATCTGGCAGCATCCCCTGAGGGCCTCTGACTATGCAATATTTTCTCCCAGGACAAAGATTCCCGAATGTCAAAGACAGCATCCAGAGTGGCTGGTGTAACTTCAGATCTAACCTATTTCAGAGGCAGAGGTTAGAGACAGGCAATTCAACCTGGATTTTCTCTTCTTACTGGGATATGGGTGCAGGGGTGAGAATGGGCACATGACTAAATCCAGTCCTACTTAGAGATCCAAAATGACCCAGTGCATACAGAAGGCATTCAATATGTACTCAATTTCCTGTCCAGAAATCTCCTTTGTTTTATTGAGTTGACTCTGGGAGGAACTCTTCCCAACCTGAGGTCGCTTCTCAGTGTGCAGGAGATTCATCCTGCCTTCCTTGGATCCTGGCAGCCTGGAGGGGCCTCTGGCTCTCTGTTTAAGGCACAGGGGGATGTTGGGCATGGGCACAAAGAATACAGCAGAAGAAGAGGGTGCAATGACAGGGTGGGCAGGGGAAGGGACTACTTGCCTCAGTTTAGCTGAGGGGCTTCCAAATAGCTTCCGCTGGCTGGCTGATGGGAGGTCTGGACTTCTGATCACGCTGGTGAGCTTGGGATCACTGTGGAAATACGCTAATGTTGTCTAGGAGCCAGGAGCAAACCCTACTGTCCTATCCCCTTGATGTATCGTCAGGGTGCTCAGTAGGTGGAGGAAACCCTGGGACTGGGTTTCAGTGCCTATGTTCAAGTGCTTAACTTCAAGTGTGACTCTGCAATGGTTGTAGAGCAATGGTTGGGAGCACAGGCTCTGGAGCCAGGTTCCCTGGACTCATGTGGCAGCTTCCCACTTAATAGGTCTGTGACCTTGACTGCACATCGTTGAGCCTCAGTTTTCTTATCAGCAAAATGGGGACTAATAGTACCTACTCAAAGGTTTTTTGAATGCATTAAGTGAATCACATAAAGTATGTAGGAAAATGCCTGGGACATAGTAACTGCTCAGTAAACGTTACTATTAGGAAAGACCCTTCTGTCTGGGTTACGAGATCATCACCTGTACGGTGAAAGAGATTGAGTTAGATCAGCAGTTTATTAGTTGTCGGGGCACAGCTTCCTGGAAAAGGTTTTGCTTTGTTTTGCAGGGAGAGCAAAACTGCAGAAAGCAAAACTTGGTAAAACATTCTGTGGTGTGGCTTGCAGAAGATTTGACTGTTTTCCCAAAGAGGCATGAGTTTACAAGATGGATTCACAGAACTGGAGCATCTTAGGATCTTAGGAGGCCCAGATGCCCCGGGCTGTGACGTTATTCTGTTGCTCTGGGGTTATCTTCTCCACGTAGACGGTGAGACCATCATGGCAGTATCATGCTGGATTATTGGGAAATCGAAGGCCAAACCTGGCAGCTCAAGACTTGATACCTAGAGGGTCTCTTGGGGTGGGTCCCAGAGTACTGAGGGTCATGGATTGTCTTGCACTTAACCTGTCCCTGGGGACTGGACTTGGGTGGAGGAGGAAGGAGAGGCCTTTGCAGGAGAGAGACAGGCAGGGAAAGCTCCTTGCCTGTCATGTTTACTGAACTGCACTGAATTATGACTAAATGCCAAGATCTGGCTTCAGGCAATTGCCTAAATCATTTAGGGGTTGACAGGGAAGGGAGGGAGGGGACATGGGGAGCTGGGGGGAGAATGTTCTTGTAATTCTTCAGTCTGAGGTACATTAAGGAGCCATAAGCCATGTCGAGTGCTTGAATTACATTAGAGAGATTATCCTGTTACAGTTCATAATCCTGGATAATATACCGTCTTGGAGCACACCTGCCTGTGATAAATCTCGCCCTGTAATGGCCTGACCCTGGGGACCCAGGGATGCTGGGGCAGCTGGCAGGGGCTATCAGAGTGGACACAGCCTCAGCAGAGGCACCTGTGAGCCCCATTGTCCTCCTGACTGATCTTTATGTCCTTTACTCCTGCCTCCACCCAGAGGGAGTGGACGTAACTGGGAGCTTCAAACTTCTCCATCTTTATTCAAGGTTCTTGGCTTCCCTAAGGTCCCTCCAACCTTACC